TATGCAATAAATAGTAAAGCATATATGATACTTGATCTATCATCCAATGTTATTATAGAATCACGAGATGTGAATTTCTTTGAAAATTTATTAAGCGTGGGTGAAATTGATCAAAATTCATTGGAAACTCAAAAAGAAATTCCGGCTTCTAATAAATCACTAGAAATATCTCCTCAAGATATAAATGAGTCTTGTGAACCTAGAAGATGCAAGAGAACTCGTAAATAGAAGGTATTAGGACATGATGAGATTGATTCTCAACAGATTTCTCTATACTTGATTGAAACCAAGTATAGAAGATATAGTAAGAAAAATTTCTTATGTTCTTCAAATTGATAGTGATCCTAAAACCTATAAAGAAGCAATGACTTCTAGAGATAACATTTTTTGGAAAGATGCTATAAATGATAAAGGTTCTATAATGTCCAACAATACTTGGAAGATTGTTAACTTACCGACTGGATAAAAAACAATTGGTTGTAAATGAGTATTTCATAGGAAATACAACACTGATGGTTCAATCCAAACTTATAAAGTAAGATTAGTTGCTAAAGGTTTTCGACAAAGTGAGAGAATTGATTATTTTGACACTTATGCACCCGTAGCTAGAATCACTACTATTAGGTTTTTTTTTTGCATTATCTTCTATATATGATTTATGTGTACATCAAATGGATGTTAAAACTGCATTTTTAAATGGAGAATTAGATGAAGAAGTTTACATGGAACAACCGGAAGGTTTCATTCTTCCGGGTAATGAAAACAAAGTTTGTAAACTTGTAAAATCTTTATATGGTTTAAAATCAAGCTCCTAAAAAATGGTATGAGAAATTTGATAATGCTATCATGATTTTTGTTTTTTTGCATAATACGGTGGATAAATGTCTATATGCTAAAAAATGTGATAATTATATTATATTTGTATGTTTATATGTGGACGGCACGTTGATTATTAGTAATCACATGGATGGTATTATAGAAATAAAAAGGTTTCTATCTTCAACATTC